GCCTTAGCCTCCTGAGTAGCTGAGATTACAGGCACGTGCCACCATGCCCAACTAATTTGTTTTTTGTACTTTTAGTAGAGACGGGGTTTCACCATCTTGGCCAGGCTGGTCTTGAACTCCTGACCTTGTGATCCACCCCCCTCGGCCTCACAAAGTGGTAGGATTACAGGCGTGAGCCACTGCACCCCACCTTGAGGATATTTTTGCATAGGGGAGTGAATGAGGGACCAGGCGGCCTTGTGACCTTGTCTTGTCCCTGCAGCCAAGGGGGAACTCTTGGGCTGCTTTGGGCTCACAGAGCCCAACTGCGGAAGTGACCCCAGCAGCATGGAGACCAGAGCCCGCTACAACTCATCCAACAAGAGCTACACCCTCAATGGGACCAAGACCTGGTAAGGGGTCTGGGCAGTGGGCAGGTGGTGGACAGGGGCACAGGGCCAGACCCCTCACCGACTGTTCCATCCCCAGGATCACCAACTCGCCTGTGGCTGACCTGTTTGTAGTGTGGGCTCGGTGTGAAGATGGCTGCATTCGTGGCTTCCTGCTGGAGAAGGGGATGCAGGGTCTCTCAGCCCCCAAGATCCAGGGCAAGTTCTCACTGCGGGCCTCGGCCACAGGCATGATCATTATGGACAGCGTGGAGGTACCAGAAGAGAACATGCTCCCTGGTGCGTCCAGCCTCGGGGTGAGTGGCAGCCACTTTGGGAATGGGTGTGAGTCACCTGCCAGTACACCTTCGTCAGGCAGACTCTGTGCTGGGGACCCAGCTCCCTGTGCACTGTGGAGCCCACACAGTGGTGATTCTTACTCAGCCAGACTCACTGGTGTACTGAAAACTGCCCGCTTGGTGACCGACTTGCTCATCCTGGCTCTGCCCGGGATACCTGGGCCTGAACCAGCTCAGTCGTTTGACTCACAGTGCGTCTTCTGGCATCCATCAGCCTCCTAGCTTTGAGCATGGAACCCCAATCCCAGGCTGAGTGAGACTGTGTGCAAACCCAGTAAGCAGGCACCAAGCTTCAGTGCCAGAGCCCTCTGGGATTTGAATGGCAACCTGAGTCCGCCTGCCTGGATGGCTGGGGAGAGAGCTTTCCCTATTAAGTTGGTTCTGCATAGGGCCTCTTGGTGTCTCTTGGGTGGTGCTGAGGCATCCTCTCAACCCTACAGGGTCCCTTCGGCTGCCTGAACAACGCCCGGTATGGCATCACCTGGGGTGTGCTTGGAGCTTCAGAGTTCTGCTTTCACACAGCCCGGCAGTATGCCCTGGACAGGTGTGTGGGGGTCACAATGAGGTCCCCAGGAGTGTGGGCAGCTTGGGTTTCATTCTCTACCCCATGGGTGACTCCCTGGCCCCCACCCACCAGGCCTGAGTTCCTTCTCTGGAATGACTAGTGATGTCCTTCTGAGCAGCCATGGGCTGAGTCAATGGCAGGGTCAGGGTGGGCTCGGGGGCACCGAGGCAGCCTGGGAAGGCTTCCTGGAGCAGGGGGGCCCCAGGACAGGGATGGAGTGGGAGAGTGGGCCTCCTCTTGCCCTTACCCTGCTGTTGCCCATCTAGGATTCAGTTTGGTGTCCCGCTGGCCAGGAACCAGCTGATTCAGAAGAAGCTGGCAGACATGCTCACTGAGATCACCCTGGGCCTTCACGCCTGCCTGCAGCTCGGCCGCTTGAAGGACCAGGACAAGTAGGGGCTGTGTGGTAGGGGCCGGGGGCCCGCAGCTGTGGGTGGAGGACCTTGTGTCCTTCCTAGAGAGAAAAGTCCTTCCTGCCTGGTTGCATCAGAGATCCAAACCTTCTGCTCTCCCTCTTGTCCTTGGTGGGCTGGGCTGGGGACAGCCCCATGGGTCCCTCACTGGGGAATCCCCACCTGGGGCTAGATTTGCCTGGGTCACCAGGAGCTAGGATCCCCAACGTTTGTTACCTGTATGTGCCTCTCCCAGGGCCACCCCGGAGATGGTCTCTCTACTGAAGAGGAATAACTGTGGGAAAGCCCTGGACATCGCCCGCCAGGCCCGAGACATGCTAGGAGGAAATGGGATTTCTGACGAGTATCACGTGATCCGGCATGCCATGAACTTGGAGGCTGTCAACACCTATGAAGGTGGGAGCTGAACCTCGGAGGGCCCACTGCAGCCTCAGTGGCTGGGTGGGACGGGGACAGGCCTGAGTCCAACTCCATCTGTCACCAAGTGACAGTGTGACCCAGGGTGAGCTTTACCCTCTGTCCCTCATCTGGAGTTGCTCACACAGGGATTGTGGAAGTGAAGTGCTTCATGCACCACATGGAGGCCCCATCAGGCCTGCGAGGGGCTCCCAGCTTTCTCCCACATACTCGGGAGGAGGAATGTTCCTGAGGCAAGTAAGCTCCTAGGGCAGCCCAGGGATGAGGCCCGACTCCTAGCAGGCTGGTGGATGTGAGGGAGTGAGGGATGTTACACACAGGACTCACCGCTCCATTTTAAGAGAAAAAGAAAAATCATCTTCAGACTATGGTGTTTGCACCTTGCAACTGATGGTGATTTTTATGGGGGCCCAGAACCTCTTGCTTGGTGGGAAGACAGATGTGGAAAAAGAAACTTAAAAACGAAAAATAGTGGCCGGGCGTGGTAGCTCACGCCTGTAATCCAAGCACTTTGGAGGCCAAGGCGGGCGGATCACCTGAGGTCAGGAGTTTAAGACCAGCCTGACCAACATGGTGAAACCCCATCACACACACACACACACACAAAAACTGTGGCCAGGCGCAGCGGCTTACGCCTATAATTCCAGCACTTTGGGAGGCCAAGGCAGATCAGGAGTTTGAGACTAGCCTGGTCAACATGGCGAAACCATATCTGTCTCTACTAGAAATATAAAAATTAGCCAGATGTGGTGGCAGGCGCCTGTAATCCCAGCTACTCAGAAGGCTGAAGCAGGAGAATCACTTGAACCCAGGAGGTGGAGGTTGCAGTTAGCTGAGATTGTGCCACTGCACTCCAACCTGGGTAACAAGAGCAAGACTCAGTCTCAATCAATCAATCAGTCAATATCACATTGCTTCATAGTGTAGAAAGAAAAAGAAAAAGATAAAAAAAAAGAGAAAATAAATAAATCAAAGTGCAAATCCAGCGTGAGCTATGCAGAAAAAGAGGAAGGTGGCTGGGTTCGGTGGCTCACGCCTGTAATCCCAGCTCTTTGGGAAGCCGAGGCAGGTGGATCATGAGGTCAAGAGATTGAGACCATCCTGGCCAACATGGTGAAACCCCATCTCTACTAAAAAGTATGCAAATTAGCTGGGTGTGGTGGTACGTGCCTGTAGTCCCAGCTACTCAGGAGGCTGAGGCAGGAGAATTGCTTGAACCCAGGAGATGGAGGTTGCAGTGAGCCAAGATCATGCCACCGCACTCCAGCTTGGTGCCTGGCGACAGAGCAAGACTCTGTCTCAAAAAAAAGGGAGGTATGAGGACCCCTGAGCAGAGAGGCTTCCAGACAGGACAGCACATGCAGGTGTGGTACCTTCCCCATGCACTCCCACAGCCCTAAATCTATTAGGCAGCTAGGGGTTAGGGGATTAGGCAGGTAGGTCATTCCTACAAGTGTGGAAATGACCCTGAGGACAAGCAGAGGGGGCTGTGAGACGGTTTTATACAGAGCGGGGATAGGTCAGATTTGGTGCTTTAGGGGCTAGGCGTAGTGGTTCACACCTATAATCCCAGCACTTTGGGAGGCTGAGGTGGGAAGATTGCTTGAGCCCAGGAGTTTGAGGTTACAGTGAGCTATGATCACCCCACTGCACTCCAGCCTAGGTGACAGAGTGAAACTCTATCTAAAAAAAAAAATAGATTTGTGCTTGGGGAAGTAAACAGAATCGCCTCTAAAAGGGAGGCTACAATCTGCCTTCTGCCCCAAGGAGCCAGGGAGGAGCAAAGGATGAGACCCGAGGTTGTGAGGTGTGGGACTCTCTGGGAGGGGCAGCCTTAGGTGGGCAGAGGTCAGCAGAGGCAACTGACTGCATTTCTGATGTGCTGTCCCTCTCGTCCCTCCTGAGAGTAAGAAAGGGCCTGTCGTGTTGCCTTGGAGCTCAGGGGTATTTTCAGGCTCTGTGAAAGGAAGCATGGCCAGGTTGAAATATCAAACGTTTAATCAACGGAGGTGGGGGTGGCGGTTAACTTGCCAAGTGTGGGGAGCATGAAGGCTGGGCCCACAGCAGGGCCTAGACTTACTGCATTTTGGGAGTTCAGCACAAGGAGCTTTGGGTTTTTGGTTTTTTTCCTGCCAAGGTGCATTACAAAAAATTGAAAAAAAATTTCTCAGTGTGGCTCAAATGGTGGCCTCTCAGCCTTCTCCTTGAGGCAGTCACTAAGGCGTGGGTCTCCCGGCAGCTGTCAGCATTCACCATCTCTGTGGGTCTGTTCTAAAACAGTGGCCTGGGGGAACATAAAAATTGATTTTAAAGGGAAGTTGTGAGCTGTGAAGATTCCAAACTGACTCTATATTAATCTTGTCCAGGTACACATGACATTCACGCCCTAATCCTTGGGAGAGCTATCACAGGAATCCAGGCGTTCACAGCCAGCAAGTGAGCCCACTCCATCAGGGGCCCAAAACTCTGAAGCCCCTTCCTGGAGAGACTCCTGGTTGGACCGCAGAAACGCTGTGCTCTGAGCTTAGAAAGGGAGGTGGCGGATGGAGTGGGAAGTGAGAGACACTGATTTTTAAATATCAAAATTTCCCTTGTGAAGTCGTTCAGCTGTGTTCCTTAAAAAGAAGATGGAATTCTCTGTAGAGTGTCTCAATCCACTTTTAACCATGGATGAGAACGAACTCCATTTACCCTGAAATAGCAGCTTCTCTTGAAAGGAGAGTGATATTGAAGCAACTCCGTCTGCTCCAGCAGACCCCCTCACACCGAGTTCCCAGTTGCCCTCCCAGCCTCCTGCTTGGGGGTAGTGCCTTATGCTGGATGTTGGAGCAGAGTGAGGGAGAGGAAAATAAAGAGCTACACATCTGACCCCAAGGTGTCAGGCTGGTTTACTGGTAACCACCTGAGATGTAGTTTCAGCCACAGAAGAAACGAACATGTCTGGGGGCTGTGAGTCGCTGGGACGTGGTGGGGACTTTCCTCTAGAGTGGTCTGGCCGTCTGAGTCTTAGGCTGTGCTGTAAAAAAGAAACCCAGGTTAGCAGTGCTAGGCTGTGCCAGGGCTGCCGGGCTCAGGGCTGTGGGCAGAGGAGATGGTTTCTGAGTGGCAGGGGACAGGGGACTTTGTCCTTTCTGTCACCACAGAGCTGCTCATACAACAGTGGGACATGACAACATGTTTGGCTTCTCAGCTCAGACACACCTAACATAGGGGACCACAAACAAGATGGCGAGCTCACCAAGGGCTTTGCAGGGACTGTGGCCTGGTGGGCTCAGGGGTGGGTGCCTGGCTTCTGCTCACATTTGCTCTTGGCTGGGCCATCCCTGCCCTGTTCCTCAGGCAGCACCCCTGGGGTGAGTTTGGTCATACCTCAGGCTGGAGACACAGGTCTTTGTACACAGTCTCCACGCTGTGGCAGACTTGTTTGAGCTCCGTTTCCAAATGGCTAATCTTTGCCATTTTTTGGGTGAACTCCTGGAGCTTTTCCTGGATGATCTTGTTGTGGTCATTATAAATCTGATAGATCCTCTCCTCTAATTTCTCTGTCAGATCCGAAACCTTTTAAAGAGTAAGATTTATTTTTGGAAAATCAAACAAGAGGCATCACCAGACATCAGTATTGAGTTTTTTAGAGTTCTAAGAATTATCTTATGAAAATGGCAAAATAGGTCGGGTGCAGTGGCTCACGCCTATAATCCCAGCACTTTGGATCACTTGAGGTCAGGAGTTTGAGACCAGCCTGGCCAACATGGAGAAACCCTGCCTCCAAAAAAAAAAAAAAGAAGAATTTAAAAATCAGCAAGGCGGTGTGGTGGCTCACACCTGTAATTCCAGCACTTTGGGAGGCTGAGGCAGGTGGATCACCGGAAGTTGGGAGTTTGAGACCAGCCTGACCAAATAGAGAAACCTTGTCTCTACTAAAAATACAAAATTAGCCAGGCATGGTGGCACATGCCTGTGATCCCAGCTACTTGGGAGGCTGAGGCAGGAGAATCGCTTGAACCCAGGAGGCAAAGGTTGTGGTGAGCCGAGATCACGCTGTTGCACTCTAGCCTGGGCAACAAGAGTGAAACTCTGTCTCAAACAAAAACAAAAGCAAATTAGCAAGGCATGGTGATGTGCACCTACAGTCCCAGCTACTGGGAAGGCTGAAGCCAGCCTCAAATTGCTCGAGCCCAGAAGTTGGAGGCTATAGTGAGCCATGATCGCACCACTGCACTCCAGCCTGAGTGACCCTACCTCAAAAGAAAAAAGAAAAGAAAAAAAAAAAAAAAAAAAAAAAACCAGGCCAGGTGTGGTGGCTCAAGCCTGTAATCCCAGCACTTTGGGAGGCTGAGGGGGGTGGATCACAAGGTCAAGAGCTCGAGACCATCCTGGTCAACAGGGTGAAACCCCGTCTCTATTAAAAATACAAAAAAATTAGCTGGGCATGGTGGCGCGTGCCTGTAATCCCAGCTACTCAGGAGGCTGAGGCAGGAGAATTGCCTGAACCCAGGAGGCAGAGGTTGCGATGACTCAAGATTGCGCCATTGCACTCCAGCCTGGGTAACAAGCGAAACTCCGTCTCAAAAAAAAAAAGCCAAAACCCAGTGCAGTGACTAGGGGTCAAGACTGCCTATACGTAACTTTTTTTTTTTAAGAGGCAAAAGTATATACAGTTGTGTGCTGCATGACATTTTGGCCAATGCCAGACTATATATACAATGATGGCCCATAAGCGTATAATACCGTGTTTTTACTGTACCTTTTCTATGTGTAGATATATTGAGATACACAAATGCTTACCATTGTGTTACAAGTGCCTACAGTATTCAGTATAGTAACATGCTGTGCAGGCTTGCAGCTTAGGAGCAAGAGTCTCTTCCACGTAGCCTAGGTGTGTAGTAGACTACCATCTAGGTTGGTGTTAATTCATTCTATGATGTTCAAATGATGACAGAGTCACCTAGGGACACATGTCACAGAACTGTGCAGTACAAGCTCAGCCAAGTTAGGACGGAAGTACACAGAACAGGGACTAGAAGAGGCAGCCAACAAAGTGGCTTCCGGGTAGTGTATCAAAAATAAATAAATAAATAAATAAAGCCCAGCACAGTGACTCATGCCTATAATCCCAGCACTTTGGGAGGCCAAGGTGGGTGGATCACGAGGTCAGGAGTTCAAGACCAGGCTGGCCAACATGCTGAAACCCCATGTCTACTAAAAACACAAAAATTAGCCCAGCATGGTGGTGCTTGCCTATAATCCCAGCTACTCAGGAGGCTGAGGCAAGAGAATCGCTTGAACGTGGGAGGCGGAGGTTATGTTGAGCTGAGATCACACCACTGCACTCCAGCCTGGGCAACAGAGCAGACTCCGTCTCAGGAAAAAAAAGAAAGAAAGAAAAAGGAAAAAAAAATTGTTTTGAGCCTGCCAAGCAAAAGAAAAAAGAAAGGCCGGGTGCGGTGGCTCAAGCCTGTAATCCTAGTACTTTGGGAGGCCAGGGCGGGCGGATCACGAGGTCAAGAGATCGAGACCATCCTGGCCAACATGGTGAAAGCTCGTCTCTATTTAAAAAAAAGAAAAAGGGGCCGGGCGCGGTGGCTCACGCCTGTAATCCCAGCACTTTGCGAGGCAGAGGCGGGTGGATCACGAGGTCAGGAGATCGAGACCATCCTGATCACATGGTGAAACCCCGTCTCTACTAAAAATACAAAAAATCAGCTGGGCATGGTGGCACATGCCTGTAATCCCAGCTACTCAGGAGGCTGAGGCAGGAGAATTGCCTGAACCCAGGAGGCGGAGGTTGCGGTGAGCCGAGATCGCGCCATTGCACTCCAGCCTGGGTAACAAGAGTGAAACTCCGTCTCAAAAGAAAAAAAAAAAAAAGAAAAAGGAAAATAAAGTCATAAAGTCAATCTGTCATCCAGACAACGAATCAGCAAGCTGTGCCACTCACATGATCCATTATATATTCTTTTTTTTTAACTTTTTGCCCTAACTATAGGCACATGGTACCACGCCTGACTAATTTTTGTTTCACCATGTTGGCCAGGTGCTAACTCCTGGCCTCAAGTGATCCACCTGCCGTGGCCTCCCAAAGTGCTGGGATTACAGGTGTCAGCCACTGTGCCTATCTCCCCATTCTGTATTCTTAAGAGGCATCAGGCGCAACCATTCATGGAAGACCTGAACATAACACCAGCTTTCACAAGACATAAGCCCCGGGTGTGCTGAAGAACCTCACTCTCCAGTCACAGACACTCTGCAGTCACAGACCATTTGATGGCTTCTGCTGGACATACGGATGTGACAGTGCAAGTTGTGCCTCGACCCCCTACTCCCATAGCTGCTAGACCTTGTGTGAAGTAAAAAGGCTGGGTATTGGAGGCAGGAGGACATCCAACGTGCCCTTCCACAGCCTAGCTCTCTTGTCATGCAAATCATTCATTTCCAAGCCTTATCTATAAGATGGGTCCAGTAGCTTCTCTGTAGGACTATCTAAGGGTAAACTGAGATACAGATGGTCCGCAGCTTACTAGGGTTCAACTTATTTTTGACTTACAGCATTTTTCTTTTTTTTTTTTTGAGACAGAGTCTTGCTCTGTTGCCCAGGCTGGAGTGCAGAAGCACAATCTCAGCTCACTGCAACCTCTGCCTCCTGGGTTCAAGCTATTCTCCTGCCTCAGCCTCCTGAGTAGTGGGACTACAGGTGTACGCCACTATGCCCAGCAGATTTTTGTGTTATTAGTAGAAATGGGGTTTCACCATATTGGCCAGACTGGTCTTGAGCTCCTGACCTCATGATCTGCCCACCTTGGCCTCCCGAAGTGCTGGGGTTACAGGCATGAGTCACCACTCCTGGCCAACTTACAGTATTTTTAACTTGGAATGGGTTTGTGGGGATGTAACTCCATCGTAAGCGGAGGAGCACCTGTGCTGTGTATGAATAGCCTAGCACCGTGCTTGGCACAACAGACATTCATCAGCGGTTCATTCCCTCCTCTTTTGCATAAGGAATCCCCCCATACTGGGTGGAGTCTGTCACCTTGGTCTTCAGGCTGTTCCTGAAGTTGGTCATGAGTGCGTGGTCCTTTTGCCTGCTCTCATTGATGTTTTCGATCAGCTCCTGGGCTCTCTTCTGTAGGATGTCGATGCTCGAGTCGAGAGAGGAGAAGTAGAGTCCCGACTTCCCTTCCAGCACTGTCAGCTGGCGACTGGCACTGGAGGTGGCAACACAAGGGCGAGAAACCTGACTTCTCAATGTAAAGGACGCTGAGGTCAGCACCAAACTCTCCCAAGAGCGGCTGATCTGAAAGAGCTACGTGGTAGAAAGGGACTGGTGGTGTTGCCTCCTATGGGTGACATGAGGCATGCTTCCTAGGTTATTCCATTCACACACACACCCTCAACAATGAGAATGGCACCCCTCATTTTACAGCTGAGAAAACAGACCAAGAGGCGCAACTGAATATGCCCAAAGTTCCAGACCAAGGAGAGCTGTCTGTCCCCAAAGCCCACTGTTGTTTTATGACACCAACTCACTTCTTTGGAATACTAGTAATAGTATCAATGCTTTCTTTCTTACTTTTTTTCTTTTTTTAATAGAGACAAAGTCTTGCTTTGTTGCCCAGGCTGAAGTACAGTAGCACAATCATAGCTCACTGCAGCGTCAACCTCCTGGGCTCCAGTGATCCTCCCACTTCACCCTCCTGACTAGGTGGGACTAGAAGCACATGATACCATTCGCAGCTAATTTTAAAAAATAATTTTAAATAGAGACTAGATTTCCCTATGTTGTCCAGGCTGCTGTCAATCTTCTGGCCTCCAAAAATGTTGGGATTACAGGCATGAGCCACTGCGCCTGACTGATGCAATCAGCAATCTCCTGCAACCTCCGTCTTCCAAGTTCAAGCCATTCTGCCTGAGCCTCCTGAGTAGCTGGGTTACAGGCACACATCACCACGTCCAGATAATTTTCATATTCTTAGTAGAGATGGGGTTTCACCATGTTGGCCAGGCTGGTCGAGAACTCCTGACCTCAAGTGATCCTCCTGCCTTGGCCTCTTATGGTGCTGGGATTACAGGGGTGAGCCACTGTGCTCAGGCTGATGCTTTCTTAAGTGACTTTCCTGTCACTAACCTGCTGCATCCCTTTCCCAACCTACTGGGTGATGTTGACCGCCTGGGGCTATACTGTATCTGCACCTGTTTGCCCCCACCAGGTGAGGTAAATACCTGTTGAATTATATTTAAAGAGCATTTAGGCAGGGCAAGGTGGCTCACACCTGTAATCCTAGCACTTTGGCAGGCCGAGGCAGATGGATCACGAGGTCAGGAGTTTGAGACCAGCCTGGCCAATATGGTGAAACCCCCATCTTTATACTAAAAATACAAAAATTGGCTGTGGTGACACATGACTGTAGTCGCAGCTACTCAGGAGGCTGAGGCAGAAGAATCCCTTAAACCCAGGAGGGGGAGGTTGCAGTGAGCTGAGACTGCACCACTGCAATCCAGCTTGGGTGACAGAGGGAGACTCCATCCTACAAAAAAAAAAAAAAAAAAAAAAAAAAAAAGCATTTAAAGAAATGCGCACACACACAAAGTTGTCCCACGCCGTACATGTAACTGTAAATATGTATTCAAATATGCGTTAACCAGTGAAATAGTGGCAGAAGACGGATAGCTGTCTAAAAAGCTAAACAGAATGAAAAATGTTGAGTAATATGTAATGTTATGTAACTTCATAATATTCAATGTAATAAAATGGAACTTCAGTTGGGTATGGAGGAGATAACTAAAATTGAGACAAAGATCATAAAATCTAGAAAAATTCTGCATATAGATTGTGCTGCCAATGCCTTGTTCTCTGCTTTAAAAACAGAACAGATTACAAGTGGCACATACCTATAATCCCAGCTACTCAGGAGGCTGAGGCAGGACAATTGCTTGAACCCAGGAGGTGGAGGCTGTAGCAAGCTGAGATCGTGCCATTGCAGTCCAGCCCGGGCAACAAGAGTGAAACTCCATCTCCAAAAAAAAAAAAAAAAAAAAAAAACATGTTCCTTGGCTGGGTTAGGTGCACACAGCACCTATGGTGTCATTGTCTACACCTTGGCCTCCCCTTCTAGTCTCCTGGAGGGCCAGCGCCATGTCTCATTCATTCATCTTTGTATCTTTAGTACCTACCCCTCATGAGAGAAGAAATAAATGTTCTGCTAATAAATAAATAACTTGCAAAAGTACTTTCCATTACCATCCACACTCGAATTTGATCACCTGAATTCTGTCATCCCAGTCCTCGCTCCTGAGCCTCTCTCCTGAGCTCCCAAGAACATTCTAAGCAACCTCCCAGCCTCCCCACTTGGCTGTCTCAAAGGCATCTGAAACTCCACATTTGCACAACCAACAGCATCATTTCCCTGGCAACCCGATTTCATCCTCCCTTCCCTTAGTGAATGACATAAAAAGCCACCTGGTTCCCTAGCCTGAAACTTAGCAGCAAGTCTAGAGTCCGGCTTTTCTCTGTCCCTCTGCATCCTGTCTCAAAATCCTCTCTTTTTTTTTTTTTTTTTTTGAGATGGAATCTCACTCTGTCTCCCAGGCTGGAGTGTAGAGGTGCCACCTCACATCACTGCAACCTCTGCCTCCCGGGTTCATGCGATTCTCCTGCCTCAGCCTCCGCAGTAGCTGGGATTACAGGTGCATGCCACCATGCCCAGCTAATTTTTGTATTTATAGTAGAGACAGCGTTTCACCATGTTTATCAGGCAGTTCTCAATCTCTTGACCTCAGGTGATCTGCCTGCCTAGGCCTCCCAAAGTGCTGGGATTACAGGCATGATCTACCGTTTTAATTTCTCTAAATCTACCATCATTAGCAGCTCTATAACTTGCACTTCTCAACTAGGCCATAGTGACCTTTATTTTATATACTTCTTTTCATTTATTTCTTTTTTTTTTTTGAGACAGTCTTGCTTTGTCACCAGGCGCCAGGCTGGGGTACAGTGGTGCAATCTCGGCTCACTGCAATCTCCGCCTCCTGGGTTTAAGCAATTCTCCTGCCTCAGCCTCCCTAGTAGCTGGGACTACAGGTGCACGCCACCACACCCAGCTAATTTTTGTATTTTTTAGTAGAGACGGGGTTTCACCATGTTGGCCAGGATGGTCTCGATCTTCTGACCTCATGATCCGCCCACCTTGGCCTCCCAAAGTGCTGGGATTACAGGCTTGAGCCACCGCGCCCGGCCTTTTTTTTTTGAGACAGAGTCTTGATCTCTCGCCCAGGCTGGAGCACCATGGTGTGACCTCAGCTCACTGCAACTTCTGCCTCCCAGGTTCAAGCAATTGTCCTGCCTCAGTCTCCTGAGTAGCTAGGATTACAGGCACCCACCACCACATCCTGCTAATTTTTATATTTTTAGTAGGGACAGGGTTTCACCATGTTGGCCAGGCTGGTCTTGAACTCCTGACCTTGTAATCCATTGGTCTCGGCCTCCCAAAGTGCTGGGATTACAGGCGTGAGCCACTGAGCCCAGCCTTACAGATTTCTACAGCCCCTCCATGTGCAGCAATCGGGGACCTTCCACAATTTCGCCAAACGTGTCAGCCTTTGCCTGGAATGAATTTCCTTTCCTGCCTCCTTCGTAATGGAATATTTGGAACTTTTCTTCTCTACTCACACAACACTGTGGTCTTGCTGGTTACAAAGCTGCCATAATTTATTAATATCAGTGCCCTCCAGCACACACCATCTTGAGGGTGCAGACTGCACCCTATTCATCTGTGTTTTTCAGCACCCCAAAAACATCAGTTGCTGAATATCTAAATGAATGCAGCACCGACACTGCGGCTCCCACACCTCCTCGAACCCACAGTCGGCCTTGTTGTCTGAACCTCTCCTGGATGCTCTCAACCGTTTCAGACCCTAAAATGAAAATCAATGAGAGCACCAGGTGTTTCTTTTTGTGTGATTGTTCACAACCTGCTTGAGCTGCTAATGGTTCAGAGCGGCTTCTTTCTAAGGCTCAAGGGATGAGGCTGGAACCGGTTTTCCTCGCAGCTAAGCAAACAGTAAAAAAAAAAAAAAAAAGCACTTGAATTCAGCTAATTCAAGTTTCATGGTAGGATAAAGACCTGCATCAGATGTCTGCTGAGAGCTTCTTTATTTTTCCAGCCTCTCCTTTGGGGATTTATTCCTTTCGATCTCATTTTTCTTAATACTCAGCAGCTGCATATTAATGAGGATGCTAATGATCACAGGCTTCCCTGGGCCTGCATTCACCAATTAACTTTAATAAACAAAATGCGTGGTGTCCTTGTTGCTGGCTTTCCCGGTTCCTAGGCCGGCTTCTGTTGCCGAACCCTGGACCGAGGCCAGAGAATGCAAGTTAGCCCAACACAGCACGTCGCGTGTGCCTGGCCTGCTCAGGGATTGGGCAATGGGCTGGGGGCTGTGAACACATCGCTGCGTTCGTTTATTATGGTCTGTCCTTCTAAGAAGTCCCTAATTTGGCTGCAAGGATTAGGACACAGTTCCCAAGCAGAGCCCACGCTGGCAGGGGGCCCAGGAGCTGCGGAGGAAATGGGTCTAAGCGAAGAGACCATCTGTTCGCTCCAGGTAAAGCTGTGATTGGCAGGCGACTGAGCCAGAGCCGCCCGCTGGTGGGGCCCTCCCTCCGTGGCCTCTAACAGATATACAAGTAAACAATCCGCCAACCACTTATGACCACCGCGGGCGGCAGTCCCAGGAGAGCAGGCAAGCTAATCAGACATTCAAGGGGGGAACACAACAGAATCTCTGGCGCTTGGGCAAAACAGTTTTTTGCTGAAGTACAGCCAGGAAGGGGGGAACGTTTGAATCGAAGCTGATGAGCCAGTTCCTCAACCTCTCCTTTTCTCTCTGGAAACATGTTAACATTTTAATCATGTTGCTGAGTATCTGCTGCTGGATCTATTAACTGGCCCCTGCACTGGTTTTATCCATTTGTTTTTTGGCCCGGAGTTCCTGTGGAGCTCCTTGAAGTTTCTAAATGATTTGCAGCGGTCTGTGCCTCTTCACCACACAGATCCTGGTCGAAACATGGTATTCTGAAGTAAGGTATTATCAACAAAGCGACTTCAGCCATTGCTTCCCTTTTTTTGGTCTCCAATTGATAGCACACACCTAGAAACCATTCCACCCCATGGCCTGCTTTATAACCAAGGAATGTGGGGGGCCAGGGAAGCTGGCTTTATTTCTGCTGGGGTCCTCAGGGCCCTGTCCTAAGCCTCCTCTCACTCTTTCCCCAGGTGAGCTCATTCATTCCACAGCTGCTGCTGAAACAGTGACTCCCAAGACACCATCTCCAGCCCCTCGCCCCACCCCGGTTCTGGGTCAGAAAGTCCAGCTGTATCCTGGACATGTGGATGTCCCTGGCCACCTAAAATGGCTCAGAAAATCAAGGACAAGACAGAACTTGTGTTCCTGTCTCTGCCAAAAAAGCCGCCACCTACTGGAAACCACCACAAGCTGGAAAGCAGGCAGCAGTGATGTGCTGGTAAGCAATTTAGCAACTGGCTTTGTGATGGGGGGGAAGCCCTGTTTCAGAGCGTTTGCCAATTTTTGTGGTACAGAGACTCCCACCATAGCCAGTCTCAAGCTAGCTACCAACATGAAGACGCTAAGTGCCAAGTTGAGAAGAGATGTGTAGAATCATCTCTTGCAACGTGGTAGGAGCTAGCTCCAGCACACCACAGCTGGGAGACATCCTCCCGCATTCCCCTTCCTGTGTCTCATGGCACAAGGCACTTCCTCCATCTGCCCTGCTAAAGGCCACCCCCTGAAGAAGCCTCCCACTGGACCTCCCTACATCCACTCATTCTCCCTCCCAACCATTCTCTACAAAGCAGCCATATCTTTTTATTATTTATTATTTTGAGATGGAGTCTCACACTGTTGCCTGTGCTGGAGTACAATGGCGTGATTTCTGTTTACTGCAACCTCCAGGGTTCATGTGGTTCTCCTGCCTCAGCCTCCCAAGTAGCTGGGATTACAGGCGCACATCACCACACCTGGCTAATTTTTTACATTTTTAGTAGAGATGGGGTTTGACTATGTTGGCCAGACTGGTCTTGAACTGCTGACCTCTTGATCCACCTGGTGGCCTTGGCCTCCCAAAGCGCTGGGATTATAGGCGTGAGCCACTGTACCTGGCCTTATTATTTTTTTTTAGACGAAGTTTCACTCTCGTTGCCCAGGCTGGAGTGCAATGGTGCAATCTTGGCTCAATGCAACCTCCACCTCCTGGGTTCAAGTGATTCTCCCACCTCAGCCTCCCAAGTAGCTGGGATTACAGGCATGCACCACCACACCTGACTAATTTTGTATTTTTAGTAGAGATGAAGTTTTGCCATGTTGGCCAGTCTGGTCTTGAACTCCCGACCTCAAGTGATCCATTCACCTCGGCCTCCCAAAGTGCTGGGATTACAGTCGTGAGCTACCACACCTGTCCTCTACTAAATATGTATATATTTTTTGAGACAGAGTCTTGCTCCATTGCCAGGCTGGAGTATGGTGGCACAATCTCGGCTTACTGCAAGCTCCACCTCCCAAGTTCAAGCAATTCTCCTGCCTCAGCCTCCCAAGTATCTGGGATTACAGGAGCACCACTGTGCCCAGCTAATTTTTGTATTTTCAGTAGAGATGGGATTTTGGGATTTCACCATATTAACCAGACTATTCTCAAACTCCTGACCTTGTGATCCACCCATCTCAGCCTCCCAAAGTGCTGGAATTACAGGAGTGAACTGCCATGCCCAGGCTACAGAATTTTTTTTTTTTTTTTTTTTGAGACACAGTCTCACTCTGTCACCCAGCTTGGAGTGCAATGATACAGTCTTAGCTCACTACAACCTCTGCCTCCTGGGTTCAAGCAATTCTCCTGCCTCAGCCTCCCAAGTAGCTGGGATTACAGGCGCCCCCACCACATCCCGCTAATTTTTTGTATTTTCAGTAAAGATGGCCATGTTGGCCAGGCTGGTCTTGAACTCTTGGCCTCAAGTGATCCACTCACCTTGGCCTCCCAAAGTGCTGGGATTACAGGCGTGAGCCACCATGCCTGGCCTAAATATTTTTTTAACAAAATAGCTGGACGTTTTGGCATACCTGTAGTCCCAGCTATTTGGGAGGCTGAGGTGGGAGGATCACTTGAGTCTGGGAGGTGGAAACTGCAGTGAGCCATGATCGTGCCACTGCATAGTGACAAAGCAAGATGCTGTGTCAGGAAGAAAGAGAGAGAAAAAAAGTAAACACTGGCAGATACTTGGGGAAGAAAAGGGTGAACGAGAAGGGCCCAGGGGCCCATGTGGACCCGTTGGGACAGGATCTTCCTCACCTATCTGGCCCTCCACCAGCTTCCTCCTCACGGTTCTCCTTGAACTGCTGATGCGCGTTGCTCTCCCCCAAGGGCTGCGGCTCCTGGTCTTTGCACTTTACATGGGGCACGTCCACCTACGAGCACAGTCAGGAGGGGGGATGAGGAGTGAACAAATCACCCTCCTGGGCACCTCGATGTGCCACTGCGGGACGGTGGGGACCCAGAGGAGAGATGGGCAGGGCTGAGGTGGTGCCATGAGGATAGGGGAATGGGGTGAAAGGACCCAGTGTCCCTGGGGAACGCCTGGACACCAGACCTGGAGGGGCTGGGTGCGGGCAGGGCTGTGGGAGCAGAACTGGGGGGCCTGGGCTCCTAACAGGTATGCGTGTCGGCTGGAGTCCTTTGAGAAAGAGGTAGCAGAAAAGAAATGAAGTCGGGGCAGGGCGAGGTGGTTCATGCTGTAATCCCAGCACGTTGAGACGCTGAGGCAGACAAATTGTGAGGTCAAGAGTTCGAGACCAGCCTGGCCAACATGTTCAAACCCTGTCTCTACTAAATATAAAAATTAGCCAGGCATGGTGGCACATGCCTGTAAAGTCCAGCTACTTGGGAGGCTGAGGCAAGAGAACCGCTCGAACCCAGGAGATGGAAGTTGCAGTGAGCAGAGATGAGGCCACTGCACTCCAGCGTGGGCGATAGAGCAAGATTCTGAATCAAAAAAAAAAAAAAAACAAAAAAAAAAAAAACAAAAAACAAAGACAAGACATGAGGCCAGCGAGGTGGCTCATGCCTGTAATCCCAGCACTTTGGGAGGCCAAGGCAGGTGGATCACGAGGTCAGGAGTTTGAGACCAGCCTGGCCAACATGGTAAACTCCGTCTCAAGGCCGGGCGCGGTGGCTCAAGCCTGTAATCCCAGCACTTTGGGAGGCCGAGGCGGGTGGATCACGAGGTCAAGACATCGAGACCATCCTGGTCAACATGGTGAAACCCCGTCTCTACTAAAAATACAAAACATTAGCTGGGCATGGTGGCACCTGCCTGTAATCCCAGCTACTCGGGAGGCTGAGGCCGGAGAATCGCTTGAACCCGGGAGGCGGAGGTTGCGGTGAGCCGAGATCCCACCACTACATTCCTTCCTGGACGATAGAGCGAAACTCCGTCTCAAAAAAAAAAAAAAAAAAAAAAAAAAAAGAAAGAAAAAAAGAAAAAGCAAGCCGGGCACGGTGCGTGGGGGTCTGTGCCTTTCTCTACTCCGCTCAGGCCACGCGCCATGTGTGGAAATCAGACTGTCAGGGCATCGTCCGTCAGGGCCAGGTTCAGTCAGTCAGGAAATTTGGGGCCAGGCCTGATGAGAGGCAGCCTCGATGGCAAAAGACAAGTGGCCGGGTTCGGGTTCGCTGGAGAAGGCTGGGATCGCAGCCGTTCTCTGCCCACTTGTCCGCCCGCCCCACGCGCGCGAAGGAAGCAAGCGTAGCGTACTCCCTGTCGCTCCATTCCGTCTTTTCCCGCCTTTTAACTTGCACCCTTTGCGCATGCGCCGGCCCCGCCCCTGGTGAGCTCTGCTTGCGCCGCACGTGAGTCCGGGCGTGTGCTCCTAGCTCCTCCCCCTTGGGAATTCGGCGACACGCCGGGGGGCGCCGACCGTTAGGCGGCGGTTTGGCGGTCCAGGGGCTGCGAGCGCAGGCGCTGCCGGGGAACCGGAGGGTAGGCTCCGCGTCCGCGCGTTTGGCCACCAGTGTGTGGCTGTGGGAGGCTTCAGGGTCCCATGCAGCGCCCGGGTTATAGGGATCTGAGAGAGTCCTGTATTTATTCTGTATTTAATCCGCTCTAACTTTATGCAGTCTGCCTTGGGAAATAGTCTCAGTAACAATTTTTTATTTTATTTTAAGACAAAGTCTTGCAATGTCGCCAGGCTGGAGTGCAGTGGGGCAATCTCTGCTCACTGCAACCTCCACTTTCTGGGTTCAAGCGATTCTTCCGCCTCCGCCCCCCCAAGTAGCTGGGACCAGAGGCACGTGTCACCACCCCTGGCTAATTTTTTTATTTTTAGTAGAGACGGGGTTTCACCATGTTGGCCAGGATGGTCTCGATCTCTTGATCTCGTGATTTGCCACCTCGGCCTCCCAAAGTGCTGGGATTACAGGCATGAGCCACGACGTCCAGCTAATTTTTTTGTTTTTTGTTTTTTGAGAGGTCGTCTTGCCCGTCGCTCAGGCTGGAGTCCTGTGGTGCAATCAAGCTCACTGCAGCCTCTACCTCCCCAAGGTTGAAACGATCCCCCTGCCTCAGCCTCCTGAGTAGTTGGGACTACCAGTGTCATCTACCATGCCTTTCTAATTTAAAAATATTTTTCTGGTGCGTGCAGTGGCTCGCACTTGTAATCCCATCACTTTGGGAGGCTGAGGCGGGTGTATCACCTGAGGTCAGGAGTTCAAGACCAGCCTGGCCAACATGGCCACACCCGTCTCTACTAAAAATACAAAAATTAGCTGGGTGTGGTAGCACACATCTGTAGTCCCAGCTACTTAGGAGGCTGAGGCAGGAGAATTGCTTGTACCTGGGAGGCAGAGGTTGCAGTGAGCTGAGATTACGCCACTGCCCTCCAGCCTGGTGACAGAGCAAGACTCCTCTGTCTCAAAAAATATATATTTTCTGTAGAAATTAGATCTTTCTGTGCTGAGGCCAGGCTGATCCCAAACTACCAGGCTCAAGCAATCTTCCTGCCTTGGCTTCTCGAAGTTCTGTCTCAAAACAAAGAAATTATCTGACCTACCCTATTGACTCTAGATCATAAGACCCCTGTGTCAAAGAAGTTTCTGCCCCACACAGGCCTATCTAGATTCTTGGCTTCTCTGAGCATGTATTCCTTATATTCCAAGAAGAATCTAGACACACAGGCCTTGCTAGGTTTCTCTACTCAGCCTATTGGTATTAAACAACCACTCCCCACTCTTAAATCTTGCTCTGTTCTTCAGGCAACAGTGGAGTGCAGTAGTAAGATCTTGACTCACTGCAACCTTGCCCTCCCAGGTTCAAGTGATTCTTAGCCAACCGAGTAGTTGGGATTACCGATGGACCATATCCCCACCTAATTTTTGTTATCTTTAGTAGAGATGAGGTTTTTCCATGCTGCCCAGGCTGGTCTCAAACTCTTGGCCTCAAGTGATCCACCTGCCTCAGCCTCCCAAAGTGTTGAGATTATAGGCATGAACCATGACAAACCCTTTTTTGTCCGATCAATTTTCTACCTGGGTGTTCAAAGTTTGTTGAACCTAAGCATAAAAATAGACACTTTTCATTAATCAGATGTGGTGGCAGGCACCTATAATCCCAGCTGCTTGGGAAGCTGAGGCAGGAGAATCCCTTGAACCCAGGGGTTGCAGTGAGCTGAGGTCGCCCCTGCCCTCCAGCCCAGGCAACAGCCTTACTCAATCTCAAAAAAAAAAAAAAAAAAAAAAAAAAAAAAAAGTTTTCCTTATATCTCTGGGTCTTGATTCTGATGGCTTGTCAGGTGATACTATGATGAAATAAATTTGTATATCATTTGTCTTTATAACTGCCTTTTGTCAGTAACTTTCAGTGAAACTTCAGAGGGCAGTAAGGAAGCTTGCTCTTCATCCCTACACAGCCAAGGTCCAGGTTTGACAGACGTGCTAACAGATTCCACGGTATTTGTGTTTATTTAGACACGTAAGTATGTATTTAACAGCAGGGTCTCACTGTTGCCCCGGCTGGAGTGCAGTGGTGTGATCACCGTTCATTGCAGCCTCAACCTCCCAGGCACAAGTGATCCACTTCAATCTCTGGAGTACTTAGAATTACATGAGCCACCATGCTGAGCTAAGCTTTGTTTTTTTGAGACAGGTCTCACTCTGCAGCCCAGGCTGGAGTGCAATGGCGCCATCTCAGCTCCCTGTAACCTCCGCCTCTGGGTTCAAGCGATTCTCCCACCTCAGCCTCCCAAGTATCTGGGACTGCAGGCTCCCACTACTATGCCTGGCTAACATTTGTATTCTTAGTAGAGACGTAACATTTCACCATGTTGGCCAGGCTGGTCTTGAACTCCTGACCTCAAATGATCCACCTCGGCCTCCCACAGCTCTGTGATTAGCAGCATAAGCCACTGCCCTCAGCCCAGTACCCAGAGTTTTGACCATCAAGTGGCACACTGAGCTAGGGGGACCCAACAAGACCCCTCACCCGTAAGGCACGGCATCAGATGGGGGCAACTGCCCACTTTATTAGACAGTACGTGGCCCACAGGTCTCCCCAGGGCCCACCCTCACAGTGGACACGCCATACAGGACAACAGAAGGAACCTGCTACCTGGTCCTCTTGTCCCTGGTGCCTTGGGATGGTTGGGAAAGAGGAAGGTGGGGCTGGCCTCACAGAGGCCTCGTAAGTACAAGGTCACTGGCCCAGGGATACAAAGGAGTGGGGCAGCAGGGACTCGGGCAGGGCGAGCTGTCCTGGAATGGTCCATGTCACGCAGCCTCCTGTGTGGGAGGGGGCCTCGGCTTGGCATCCAGGCGGCATAGGGGACTGTCGTACACCATCTTCAGGTTCACCTTGTGGCCCACCAGCTCCCGGATGTTATTGATGCCATATTTGATCATCGTTGGGCTTATGGGGGAGGGAACAGAGTTTACCATGAGGTCAGCACATGTGCTCTTCTGCTTAGTTTTCCATGGCTCCCATCTTCTTCAGAGGAAAAGCTCAAGTTCTCTCCATGACCCACAGGGCCCTGTGCCATCTGCCCTATCACCTGCTCTCTCTCCACCTTCAGCCACACTGGCCTCCTCCCTCTTCTAATACACAAGGCACATTCCCACCTCGGGGCCTTTGCACCTGCTGTGACTGCTACCTGGAACACCCTTCCCCAGATACGCTCACGCTTCACCCTTCATCCACCTCCAGGTTTTGCTATGATGGCACTTCTTCGCTGACACCTTCCCTGACCACGTAGTTGCCCTAGACCTCCATGTTATCACTTACTGTACCAGTACACATTTTTGTCTTTATTTGTTGAGTGCATTTATTTTTTGTTTTTTTTTGAGACGGAGTCTCACTCTGTCACCAGGCTGGAGTAGAGTGGCACGATCTTGGCTCACTGCAACCTCCGCCTCCTGATTCAAGCAATTCTCCTGCCTCAGTCTCCTGAGTAGCTTGGATTACAGGCACCTACCACCACGCCCAGCTATTTTTTTGTATTATTAGTAGAGATGGGATTTTGCCATGTTGGGCAGGCTGGTCTCAAACTCCTGACATCAGGTGATCTGCCCACCTCGGCCTCCCAAAGTGCTAGAAATACAGTCATGAGCCACTGTGCTTGGTCTTTTTTTTTTTTTGAGACACAGTCTTGTTGCTCTGTTGCCCAGGCTGGAGTGCAGTGGTCCTGGGTTCAAGCAATTCTCCTGCCTCAGCCTCCAAAGTAGCTGGGATTACAGGCGCCTGTCACTGCACCTGGCTAATTTTTGTACTTTTAGTAGAGACAGAGTTTTACTATTTTGCCCAGGCTGGTCTCAAACTCCTGATCTCAGGTGATGCACCTGCCACGGCCACCCAAAGTGCTGGGATTACAGGCATGTGCCACCATGCCTGGCCTGTTTTTATTTTTTGTAGAGACAGAGACTTGCTCTATTACCCAGGCTGATCTTGAACTCCTGGCTCAGGCGATCCTCCTGCCTTGGCCTCCCACAGCACTGGGATGACAAGTGTGAGCTACCTTGCCTGGCCTGACATACTTACTGGTCTCGCTAGTTATCATTCTCACTCCACTGGGACCCCTGATTCACACAGGCAGCCATGTGAGCTGTCATGTTCACAGCACAGGGTCAGGCATTCAGTTTGTGCTTACTGTGAAAGTTTTGTGGCCAGGCACAGTGGCTCAAACCTGTAATCCCAGCACTTTGGGAGGCCAAGGTGGGCAGATCACAAGGTCAGGAGTTTGAGATCAGCCTGGCCAACACGGTGAAACACTGTCTCTACTAAAAATACAAAAATTAGCTGGGCGCGGTGGCGGGCGCCTGTAATCCCAGCTACCTGGGAGGTTGAAGCAGGAGAATTGCTTGAATCCAGGAGGCGGAGGCTGCAGTGAATCGAGCTTGTGCCACTGCACTCCAGCCTGGGTGACAGAGCAAGACCCTGTCTCAAAAAAAAAAAAAAAAAAATGTTTTGTACACTCAATGAATGAATGGGTAATGCTGAAACGACGCAGATCTGTATGCCTAGAGAGTGGTCTGAGGCAGCTGGACACCCCGAGTTCCTGCCTGGACACTTACCGCTCCAGGGAGAGGCCCCAGGCAATGACTGACACATTTTCAGGAAGCCCCATGGGTAGTAGCATTTCCGGACGGAACACCCCTGAGTTTCCAACCTCCACCCACTTCTTCAGGCCTGCAGGGGTGGGATAGGGAAGACAGGGCCAGTGCGTTTGAGTTTCTGGGCACTGCTGGTAGAGGTTCTGGGTCTGGTGGTGAGCTTGGAAGTTGGGTTACAGGCTTGGCAGTGGGGGGACCTGGGCTGAACCACGGTAGCCTGAGAGCTCCCTCCCTATGTCAGTACCAGGGCCCACCCTGACCTGGGTGGTAGCTGAACACCTCCATGCTGGGCTCCGTGTATGGGTTGTAGGCTGGCTTGAAGCGGAGTTGGGTGATACCTGCAGGGAGCAGGGGCGGGCAGGCGAGCAGGGATTTGGAGGATAATGCTGGTGACCAACACACCCGCACACTGCCGCACCACCACCGCCCACTCCTGCCCACCTGCTCACCCAGCTTGGTGAAGAACTCCCGAAGAACGCCCATGAGGTGGCCTAAGGTGAGGCCGTGATCTGCCACCACGCCCTCGATCTGGTGGAACTCAGCCAGGTGTGTGGCGTCCAGGGTCTCGTTCCGGAATACTCGGTCAATGGAGAAGTACTTGGCTGGCGTGAAGGGTTTCTAGGGGTGACAGTCGAGCCAGGCTCGGGCATGGGTCAGAAGGTCTCTTTGACAGAACCCTCTCCCAACTCTGGCCCCGACCTGGGCCAACCGTACCTTCTGAGCAAGGCGGTAGAGCACACGGGCACTGGCTGATGTGGTGTGGGTGCGCAGTAGGTTTTTCCGGGCCTCGTCCAGCTTCCAGTTATACTTGTACCTTCAGAAGGGAAGGTGGGAAGTCCATGCAATAGCCTAGGGGTCCCCAGCCTCCTTCCCCTGCATACCAGGTGAGTCCTGCCTCACCCCTGTGAGCCGTAGCCACCCTGAGAATGGGTCCGCTTGACCCGCTGGACGTAGTCCATTGGGAGCTGCAGGGCCTCAGCTGGATCTAGGGTGGGAAGAGCATCAAGTCAGTCAATGAGCATTTCTCTTTTTTTTTTTTTTCTTTTTTTCAGACAGGGTCTTGGTCTGTTGTCCAGGCTGGAGTGCAGTGGTGCAATCTCGGCTCACTACAACCTCTAGAGATTCTCATGCCTCAGTTTTCTCCTGTGTGTGTGTGTGTGTGCGCGCGCGTATGCGTGAGCATGTGTGTATCTGTTTTGAGACAGAGTCTTGCTCAGTCGCCCAGGCTGGAGTGCAATGGCTCAATCTTGGCTTGCTGCAACCTCCACCTCCCAGGTTCAAACATTCTTCCTGACTCAGCCTCCCGAGTAGCTGGGATTACAGGTGGCTGCCACCACGCCCAGATAATTTTTGTATTTTTAGTTGAGATGGGGTTTTGCCATGTTGGTCAGGCTGGCCTCAAACTCCTGAGCTCAGGTGATCCACCCACCTCGGCTTCCCAGAGTGTTGGGATTACAGGTGCAAGCCACCATACCTGGCCTTTTTTGGGGGGGGAGGGGGGGAACAGAATTTCGCTCTTGTTGCCCAGGCTGGGGTGCAACGGCACAATGTTGGCTTACCGCAACCTGCGCCTCTCGGGTTCAAGTGATTCTCCTGCCTCAGTCTCCCAAGTAGCTGGGATTACAGGAATGCACCACCATGCCTGGCTAATTTTGTATTTTTAGTAGAAACAGGGTTTTACCCTGTTGGTCAGGCTGGTCTCTAACTCCCAACCTCAGGTCATCTGCCTGCCTCAGCCTCCCAAAGTCCTGGGATTACAGGCATGAGCCACAGCGTCTGGGTTTTTTTTTTTTTTTTTTTTTTGAGATGGAGTTTCGCTCTTGTTACCCAGGCTGGAGTGCAATGGCGCGATCTCGGCTCACCGCAACCTCCGCCTCCTGGGTTCAGGCAATTCTCCTGCCTCAGCCTCCTGAGTAGCTGGGATTACAGGCACGCACCATCATGTCCAGCTAATTTTTTTGTATTTTTAGTAGAGACGGGGTTTCACCATGTTGACCAGGATGGTGGTCTCGATCTCTCAACCTCGTGATCCACCTGCCTCGGCCTCCCAAAGTGCTGGGATTACAGGCTTGAGCCACCGCGCCCAGCCTTTTTTTTTTTTTTTTTTTTTTTTTAAAGGGTCAGAGTCTTGCTCTGTTGCTTGGGCTGTAGTACAGTGATACAATCATAGCTCACTGTAGCCTTGAACTCCCAGGCTCATGCAATCCTTCACCTCAGCCTCCTGAGTAGCTGGAACTACAGGCGTGCACCACTATGCCCAGCTAATTTGTTTTCGTACAGATGGGATCTTTCTATGTTGCTCAAACTTCTAGCCTCAAGTGATCCTACTGCCTTGGCCTCCCAAACAGTGGGATTATACCCACTGAGCCTGGGCAAGTCTCCTTCTTTGTAAAAAGGGGTACCAGTATGCTTCCAGTAGTTAGCAGAAAGATTAGAACAGTGGCTAGCATGTGACGACTGCTTAGTAAGTTTTGGGTGCTATGACAGTGATGACGAGAATGATGCTGCTCCTTCTGGCCAGATGGCAGGCACCTAGTGACCTCAACTGCCCTCTTGGTCAGGAAGGCCACCCACTGTGGAAAGTCATTCCATTTCAGACAGTGCTAAGGGAAATAAAAGAAAAAGATGGAGCCGGGTGTGGTGGCTCATGCCTGTAATCCTAACACTTTGTGGGGCTGAGGCGGGCGGATCACAAGGTCAGGAGATTAAGACCTTCCTGGCCAACATGGAGAAACCTCATCTCTACTAAAAATACAAAATTAGCCAGGTGTGGTGGCACACGCTTCTAATCCCAGCTACTCAGGAGGCGAGGCTGAGGCAAGAGAATTGCTTGAACCTGGGAGGTGGAGCTTGCAGTGAGCCGAAATCGTGTCTTTGCACTCCAGCCTGGGGAACAAGAGCAAAACTCTGTCTCACAAAAAAAAAAGAAAGAAAGAAATGAGACAGCAGAATGAACACTAGGGGTGAAGGGCTTCTGCAGAACTGGGGGTGGGGCTGGGAGTATCAGGCTGGCCTGTCTCTGATGACCCGTGAATAGAGGTTTGATGTTGCAGCCTCCATTGAAGATCTAGGAGAAAACAGGTCTCAGCGAAAGACAGAACATAAGCAAAGGCCCTGAGGTGGACACAGCCTGGCATGCCCAAAGAAGACTGGAGGTCAGGCA